TAAGAGATCCGTCAGAGAGCACATTAAGGAACCGGCTCTGTGCACGGAGCTGGGAGCACAAGAACCTTCTCATTATCCCTGTGCTGCTCAGTGCCACAGATCCACCCAGCTGAGGCAGGGACCAGCACCTCCTGTCTGTCAAGCAGATGGGAAAGAATGCAAAACTCTGCCAGAAGGGAAGTTAAGAAGGGTGACAAAACAGGGTACAAACCTGAGGGTGCAAACAAAAAAGGTACATTAACAAACAGTTTCTGGTCTTCTTTACAATCACAAGTTTTGCAAGCATCAGGCACAAAACCAGTATTACTCCTAATGAGATATTTACAAACAAATTTCATGCTACACTATATTAAATAAGATACTGTAGACTGAATAATATTGTACAACATAAACATTTGTCAATATAGGATAATTTTTAAGCAAACATAGCATCAATGGTATTCCTACTAGGACAGCTATGCAAAGGTGATTTTTAAAACTCATTTTCAAGCCATTCAAAAAATATGATAACGTTATGTTCTATTATGATAATGCAGCTTTCTACTATCATATATGACTAGGAGGCAGATATATGCACAGACATTTATATAACAATGACACATGAATAACTACACATGCTATTTTACTGTTGTGCTCACATAGGGCTACTTTTATAGAGCAAATTCCTCGTAACTGCTGGGAGGTAATAAACTAGGTAATTTGTAAGGCTGTATTTTAAGTTTAAAAATATTTTTTTATTCCAAATTTATATTTGCCTTTTTCTTTTTTTTTTTTTTTAAACTTAATTTAGCTTCAGGTAAATCAATTTCAATTTTTGCTTCCCAACCAGTTCTGAGGAACATGTACATCCAGCTGAGACCTTGTATGACATATTTAAACCCAGAGCAAATTTTTACATTCACAATATAAACCCCAGAAAATAGGGATTTATAATGAAAACACCAACAGGCATTTAACCATAACCATACTGGTGGGTTTCACTATATAATATATCAGTCTTACTTTTATTTTCTGTCAGGCCACGTGAAGAGACATCTGTAATAGAACATCTGTGGTGATACACATTACGGAAAGCTATGGGAAAGTTATGATATACATTATGGAAATTATATTTCTGAATATACAAACATACAATATGAAACTTGCAGACATACTTAAGTTACATAAAGTTTGATAGCAACTACCACACTTGGAACACACAGGACAAAGGTCTTTTCTAGACTTTTTGTTAAAGCCAGATCTGGCAGATAATTTCACTGACATGAGAAGTTTGAGAGTTCACAGGGACAAATGCATACAAATAACTCATACATGTAACTGTTTGCAAGATCTGCTCCTAAAAGTAATCCTTTATATCAACATATTACTACTAAAAATCCAATTTTGAGACCTAATAATTTTTTGTTCATTGACTATTCATTTTCATTTTAGGGAAATACATTATATTGAAACTTGAATTAACAAAGATTTAATAAAACAAGTTATAAGAAATTATAATACAGACATTGACTTTAATAAAGACTTACACCATATGCCCAGCACCATCTTCATACAGATGTATTGTAGTTTAATCTAGCCCTAGAAAAGTATGGTTTCCTAATAGTAATTATTTTAGTAATTAAACACTTCACAACAATTTAATATTATCTAGGACTTTATTATTTTGTACATAAAAAAAAAATAGTAAGTCTACCCCTGTAACTCCTTCATCATTACTTTACTTAATTTTACAAGCAGCATAATTTTCCTTGATCTACAGGAGAGGAAAAGCCAAATTATCTCATGCAAAAAACGTGATGTAAGCAGGACAACATTCAAAGTGTTAAAGAAATATAGGGGTTTTTTAAGAAATGAGAATCCGTAATAGTTATAATACACAGCAAAGCAAAATAAGCTTTTTATAGCTTGGTGGTCTGCTACAGAAAACGTATGTACATGGAATCTGCATAATCATTACTTGTATCAGATACTTGCTGGTATGCACTAAAGCAGCTGAAGTCGTTTTTACATTAGAAGTTGGGGGGGTTGGGGAGGGAGAGGGGTTTGCTGTGGTTTGGGGTTGTTTTTTCAAAAATATTTCATTTCTGTGAACTAAATCTTGGCAGGTGCTGAGTGCATCCTACATTTCCAAAGAAATTTAGAGCATTTGACTCTAATAAAGTGGGCTCAAGGAGCAACACTTTTCTATCACATGACAGACACGCTGGACCACTGGAAATGAAAAAACCTTGAGCCAGTGTGAATGCACTTTGTGTAAAAAGCACAGACTGATGTGAACTTTCCCAATGCTCACGCTTTTCTTAAAGTACTTGTAAATGTTCGTAAGGTCTCAGGGTGTACTTCATGTATGAATGACTCGGAAATGGGAAACTTTCCAGAGTGCAATAGAGTATATGCTGAGTGCCATCTACTGGGAGTGCCTGCTTGTACTTGGACTTTACCATGTCAGCTATAAAAAAGTTACAGGCAAATCGTGCACTGGGTTTGCACACACTGAAACGTTTAGTCCTAACTTCAGACAAAAAATATTTTACAAATACAATTTGGAAGAATAGATCCGCACTCCAGGTGCTAATGGACAAACAGAAAAAACGCTTTCCTGGCACAACAGATGCAGTGTAACTTCTACACGCTTATAAAAAAGTGTTTCAAAGAAGAGGCAGAAGATCAGCCCCATTTTAAGAAAAAAATAAAAATAAATTATTTCTGATGTACAACTATAACTTTGTATTAAATATAAAGTAAACACTCTATTGTACTACTTTGTTCCTTAGAAAAGGACAGAGGTAGCATTCCAAGCACAGAAATTGAAATGCTACCTTCATCCAAGCCCTTGTCCTGCAAATATTTAACTGCATGGAGTTTAAAACTGTGTTTGAAAGCTCAGTTTACAGCTCTGCCCAGTACTTTGCATCCTTATGCTGAATGGGCAGGGGTATCAGAAGGTTAGAAAGTCCTTCTGTATGGAATTTGCTATTCAATCCAAAGAAGATTAAACTCCACACCATCTCAGATTTGGTGGATATCTAGCACAGTGGTATTCACACAGAACTGGATGGTGGGAAAAGTACTAACTCAAAGTATTACCAAAAAACACTGTCATGAGAACTAGTGGTGTTTTCTGTATATTCAGAAGTTAAAAGTCACAGCGCATCAAGCAGATTTTGGCTCCAGACCTTGTTCCCGTGTTTAATGGGACACATGCTATATACCATTTACTTGCAACCCCCTCAACACACCACACAAAAAAAACAAGCCAAAGGCAAGAGAGCCTATGTTCATCTGTAAGTATCTGGGGAATTTAAATTACTCTTAAAATATGTGAAATATATGATTGTATATTATTCCACTGTTAGCAGGTAAATTTGGGTTTATTATAAATAAATAAATTTAAAAGTAGCCAGTCAGTGGAACTCATTCTATTAAAATTTGTGCAGTTAAGGATCAAAGGAACAGGAATAATAATGTAGTGTTATGTCCTTTTTATTCCAAAATGTGACTATTTTATTATCCCAGAAGAACAATTTGATAAGACAGCTAAGGTGATGCTTTGCAAACAGGTAGCAAAACTTCCCATGGGCTGTGTTTCCCACTGGCCAACTCTGAGATCCCTTTTTTAGAGCAGGATCAAAACGACCAGAAGACTGAGTGCCCCCATTTTAAGCAGACATCTATGTGCATCAAAAGGTGCATAATGAGGGCTAAGGAAATTTGCTTACCCTGTATTTTTAGGATTATAAATCTGGCTCAGCAGCAAATATAACAGGAAACCAAGGTCAGGCTGACACAATGTGGGCTATTCTCCCTCTTCCTCAATATGTGTTTTTGCAGCTTCTATCTAGGTTAATGGGAGTTTTGTGCACATGTGGGGGGAAACAGAACACAAATGTTGCAAAAATTGGACTCAGATTTAGTTTAAATAAAGTGTAATCAGCTTTAGAAAAATCCATCAGCTTGAAAACTGATGTTGTATCACTGAAAAAAATCTTTAAAACATCACCTCCATATGCTTGTTAAGTCCAGCTCCAGGAAAAAGTGGTCGTAGCATTTTGCACTCTTATGAGCCAGCTGTGAGTGTAGTACAGACACCCAAGCTGGCTCTCGTTTTGATGCTTCATGTATCAATTAGCCAGGATTCTATCTTTATTACTTGGGTGTCAAGAAAATTCCTAGCCACATTCAAAATCAGCTGGGTGCAGCTTTTATTTTCTCCCACTTAACCATGTACACTGACATCCTTAGGCAGACATTACAGATACTGTTGCTGTTAAAGTGAAACACAAAATACCCTGGTTCAAGGGTTTTGATACAACCAATTCATGGAGATGGGATCTTATGGCACCCACAGCACGGACCTAATAGCAGAACCTGGAGCTTACATGAGAAGTGCAGCTGCATCTGGGCATTAAATTGCATGTTTCCATTTATCTCCTTAGATAAGTGTCACGTAACTAAAGAAAACGCTGTCAGAGGAACGAAAAAATGACATTTTAAATTCGGCACATACTTTACACATAATCTTCAGTGCAATGTTTTATCTAGAACAAAAATGTAGAGGGACACGTGGATTCTAACTACAGTGCACTGCTTTAGATTTTTTAGGGCAATATTTTTTAGTCCTACGACTTAACAGCAATCCATTTGCTGAATTCTTGTGCATCTTTTTAAAAAATTGCAAATGGCACTGAACACAATGGCTTTTCAATGTAAATCTAGTGTTTGTGTGAAAAATGAGGACAATTAACATAAAAGTTGATAGAAAATCTGTTGGACAAGGAAGTTGGAGAGCATTTCCAAGCATCCTAAAATCTACGATACGAAAACGCTCAACCAAGCCAGTGACTTTTAACAAAAAAAGAAAAAAAGGCAAACAAACTTCTGGCTTAGAGTAAATTTGAACAAACCAGAACCACCCATAGCACATGGTTTCCTGCAGCAGAGACACCCACTCCTAGAAGGGCCTTCATTACGCATGACACAACAAGCAGCACCCATTCAACCTGAGGGAAGCCCACAGGCTCGCAGGGCCACTGGCTGGCTCTTTGTCACCAAATGCAGCAGGTTGAATGCAGACATCACTGTGATATTCTCACCAACAAAACCAGAGGCAAAGAACAGGGGCAAGAGCTGAGTAGGGAAAAAAAAAAAAAAAAAAAAAAAAAAAAAAGAAAACAAAATAAAACATCAAAAAAAGTTAAAAAAACAATCCCAAAAAAAAAAAAAAAGCTTACAATTTAATGAGATTGCCACATGAGAGCACGATTCTAAACACACTCTTCTTAGTACATTTAGCCCATTTCTGACACACCTCTGCTAACATTTTGATACTTATTACGTAGTATTCAGTGAAATAAACTTTCTGCCGAGGGAAAGGAAGGGGGCAGTTCGATGGGGGCATTTTTAGAGGGGGCATTCGCAAGAGCCACTTCAGATACCCAGCTGAGAGCAGCTCTGGGCAGCCACCGATGTGGTACGAAGGGAGAAACCTCAGGGCCTTGGCCAGACAGCAG